CGAAGATTGATGCTCATGATATCAATACTTGGATTGTCTGGTCCACAATCGATTATTTCAAGACCAGCGTCATAGAGCTGAAATATTGCTGAGTGCGGCGTTAAACAAACAAACAAACAACATTATTTTTGTTTTCTGAATATCGCCCAAGGTCTTAGGGAGAGAACACCTAATCTGCGAATGTGTTGGTATTCATTTGACCCACGCCATTGACAACAAACAAGTTTGTGATTTCCCAAGCGACATTTTCAGATAATATACTCTTCAAAAAGAGAGAAGCAAAGCCAGATTAGTGTGAGGCAGTAAAATACATTTATACGAGGAACTGCACAAGGTTAGGCCAAAATATTGTGGAGAGAACACTTGGTGATTGTAGTCATCTCGGTTATAGGAACAGTCCAAGGTGAAGGTCAGGTATCATCAATAACGCGTATGTCACCCGTTGGAATCGATGGCGGCCTGACATCTCCTGCCAATGGAAGAGACGAGTATGCGAATCACATCCTGGTGAATTGTAGCCCACTCGGCCTGCAACGCAAAAGCCAACTGCAGCAACGTCTGGGGTTGTGGTTGACGTCGGCGTAGCCGTCTATACATTTCGTCTTACAGGTGCTCTGTCGGGCTAATAACCGGGGATCTGTAGGGCCATGGGAGAACATCAACGTTGTTGTTGTATAGACAGGCTCTTGTGATCCGTGCTGTATGCGGTCGAGCTTTGTCATGCTGGAATACAGGTTGGCTGCAATTGGGAGGACGTGTGGTTGCCCTCGATATGGACCAAACCTGTCCTGCCATGATGGGAGATAGCCACCCCAACGAAACCTGTCCACTTCCTGTACGCAGTTTCCGGCTTAACGTTCTCCACGACATCTGTAGACCCGTCCTCTTCCATCCCCTCAACAGAGGAGAAATCTTGATTCGTCGCTGAACCAGACATCTCTCCATCGCAGCTGAGGCCATACCCTTTGTTGACGACGTCAATGCAGTCGTTGTTGACGATGTTGTCGGCTCAATTTGACGCGTCGAGCATGACGTCTTGCTCGTAGACCTGCTGCTCTTAAACGGTTTCGTCTGGTCGGAGATTCTGCGCACTCTGGGTATTTGGGATGCGGTTGAGGCGGCTGTGGTCGTCCTTTCGCGTAGGTGGCGCGGTCGGATGTAACGATCTTGGGCGGGGGTGGTTACTTTTGGTCGTCCCGACCTTTGCCGGTCACGTGTTGACTCATGCTGTTGAAACCGATCCCATAGCCTTGTGATGGTGCTGGGCGCTGCATTGAAAAATCTGGCTACAGCTGATCGGGATTCCACTGCCTGCAAGCGGCCTATGACGTTGTTTCTTTGCACTTCTGTTAATCTTGGCATGTTGTTGAACTGTCACTTATCGACTGACGCAGATGCCAGGCAATCAAAAACCCTGCTCTTTATTACCGTTCATAGTGCTGCTGCACATGCAGCTCCATGGCCCATGTGTTAATATACTGGGTACGTGTTTCCCGGCAAATGTATTACATATCCTTGTGATCATTTTGACCCGGGAAATTTGTCACTGACACTATAACATATGAAACCTCTTCATTGTGCACCTCTTGGTCCGCTAATTTTGCTTTTATGGCCACAAATATCCGTCTTGCGTTTCTTGTTTTGAAGAGTATATTAATTGAACTCAATTTTAATTGTACTGCATGCCTAATTCTGTTTTAGCATCACACTACGTGACTAATAACACACACCCTCTGATTAAAGTAGTGACGCTGTATCTCAACAGATACCCTCGTTGCTTGCGTCTAAATGTTGAATAGGTGGTAAATTAGAGGTGAAATCGTGAAATGTATCGACCTGTAATATGATGCACACCAACAACGTGTGTCGTCCACTTTTATCGACATAGCATTTACATCTGTATCAACTTCCTACCGTCAAGCGAAAGAAATGATTACAAATATCGAACGTGAGCGCCAGAGAAAAAAACAGTTTCGATTATGCTTGGTTGGTGGTTTGTTGTTTGACGCCGCACTCAGCAATATTCCAGCTATGTGACGGCGGTTTGGGATTATGCAGTGCCACAGGGCGTAAAAGGCAAAATAGAGATGGACATTATATCAATGGATCACTGGAAGTCAATGATGACACCAGGTTTTCACAAAAAGGGAAAGGATGTCCTGTCTACTGAGACAAGGCGGATGGTTATTTTGACTCCTCGCGATCATTATCTACAAAACATCTAGATTATAATTGAGCTGATCTTTAACACCAACGCCAAAGTCTTAAGCTGTATCACCAGATTTGTATCATACCAGCTCATGAAGAATTGTTCAACATTTTCCTGCTGATGTTGGCTCTGTTGTTTTACCTATGAACGGGGTTAGAATAGCTCTTCAGCAACACATGCTTGTTGTAAAAGGCGACTAATGGGATCGACTGGTCAGGCTCGCTGACTTGGTTGATGTATGTCATCGATCCCAATTGCGTGGATCAATGCTCGTGATATTAATCACTGAATTGTCTAGTCCAGACTCGATTATTTACAGACCGCCGTCATAAAGCTCGAATATTGCTGAGTACGGCGTTAAACAACGAACAAACAATACAACCAACATACGAACGTGGGATTCCTACCTTGTCGAATATTCAAGAAGTATTTGTCTCCTTGCTCTTCATGTGTACAATTTATATTTCGCATCATCGAGGTTTAGAGAATTAAAAAACAAAAGAAACTCATGAGTAAGTGAAAATATTCTATATACTCTCTGTAACAGTATTAAGTCAAAGTGTGACAGATTTATAATATAAGATAATGTACATGATTTGGATGCCTGTAGAGTTTATTTGGGAGCTTTCTTGGTAGGTAAGAATAAATCATTAGATATGCATATTCCATTATTCTCTTCAAGCCTTTGAAACTTATAACTCATTTAACTACATTATTTAATTGGAAACGTAAGAGAGTAAAACGTGTAATAGTTTTGAAAAAGTCGTGTTTCAGGCACAGCGTGTATCATTCAGATTAACACATGGTATGTTAGATGTTATCGATTTGGTTTGAAGGGCCCAACTGTAATTAATATATGTAGCAACAGACATCAAATTACGCATGAACATGCACTACGAAAGGGTATTGTAGTCAGTCTTCAGCCAGATATTTCGGACAGAAAGGATATTGTAGTCTTTCCCCAGCCTTTCGCTAGTTTGTTTGGAACTGCAGTGCCATATGTATACTGTCGGCCAGCGTGTACCTTCAAGGCAGATGCAGACACACGCCGGAAAAGACTACCCGATTGTAAACGATTATATAGTCAACACAACAAAGCTTTTATGTGTATGTAAGTCTTATTGGTTAGAGTGTGAGTTAAGACTTAACGTCACATCGGCAAAATTTCAGCCATATCGTGACGAGATAAAGTAAACCATTAACAACAAATACATTTAGACAGTATAAAAACTGTCCCCGAAGGACTGTAGAAATAACTAGATTATTTAGAACTAGTTTGACCGCATGTAAACGAATAAACTATGATTTAATAACACAATTGTAAAAGATGCCTATACATCGCCAGCAACAAAAGTTAGGCCTCCATGCTAAGGACCATGGGGACTTACAATACGTTTACTATCTGCACGGTTCCCACGCAGGATTCAGTATTATGTAGTTCATTTATACAATACCACTATCCTGAAAATATCAAGAGCATAAATTCAGATTGATTTACTTTGTTACTTTACACTGGACACGGCTTTTAGCAGAGTTCTTATAATTATGAAAAGTAGTTTACCATCAAGTCCAAGGTAATGAAGGCATAACTTCTTTGATAGGCATTTAGAAGTTGGAGTACTAAGTAATGATAATAATTTATGGATGAACAACTTCTTTATTACAATTAAGAGCGACGTTTCGGTGTAGAACCTAACACCGTTATCACGCAAGTGATATTGAGATTGCCACGTCTCATTGAAGATGACGAATAACTTCTTTGATAAGCATTTGGAAGTTGGAGTACTAAGGAAGGATAAGAATTTATGGATGAACAACCTCTTGCTTGATAACGGTGTTAGAATCTACACCGAAACGTCGCTCTTAATTGTAATAAAGAAGTTGTTCATCCCTAAACTCTAATCCTTACTTAATGAAGGCACGTTTTCAAAACTTCATTAGAAAACGATCTGATATTCTCCACCCACATTCGAATCTTATCGAAAGTACAAGAATAACAACATCAGAAACCCTGCACAACTATAAACCAGAATGTTTTTTTAACTATAAAACTATTCAAGGCTAAAACCCGTCACTTGTGAGCAATGTTGCGTTTCTTATTTGATACCGTATATTTTTGTGGTTTGTTACATCACTAACATCACGACAATATTGCAATCATTCACCAGATACCAAACACTGCGGGGCAGCTGCGCCCAATTACGCGGAGTTGTTGGCTTCTTTGTAGGTGTACCAGCAAGTTGCGTCATGCCAAGTCCTGCCTGCAACGAGTTACATATCTGGGTGGGTTTTTTTGGGTGTGACAGACACATGTGCACTCGTCTATGACTTGGTGTTATGATTCAAAGGACTAATGGAGACACTGATCCGCTGGGAATCATTGCTGGTACTATTATCAGTGGACATCTTGCGTGTCTTTGTCTCATATCTGCCTATAATCTGTCTCCCTCGTAGATGACACTGTTGCCCTTGGTTGTATTGCATGTTCTCCACGTTGGTATGCCGTCATCTGATCGACGTATGCATGTGACCTGCTCCAACAATTTATTTTGGAAACACCCAGTTTCTTCATAATAATGATTCGTAAACACTATTGTATATGTTGCTTCATGATTAATGTTATTGAATTTGGTTTTACGATTCATTGTGGCGTTAACACATTGTCAATATCTTTTACTCTATCACTTAATTGATATCAGCAAATATTTTGAGTTTATAGCTCCCGCAAAGTCTCTCCCATGTCTAAATGTTACTATTGAAATTGTCGAGATCATATTACTATTATGTTCAGGCCATGTGACATAACATTTCGGTGCTATGGAGACGGGCGTTATAAATAGGGGGACACACTGATCTCATTCGCAGAGTATCCCCGTCCGGACAAAGAAACGGTTCTCAGGCGCACATTACCAGTCATGTTTAAATTTGGCGTGATGGTGCTTCTTCTGGGTAAGTTGTTTATTTGCTTTGGTATCTAACATTCACGTCAGGTACATAACATGTAATCCATTTTGAGTTATGATTTGGTTGTTGGTTGGCTTGTTGCTTAACGCCGCACTCGGCAATATTGCAGCTATATGACGGCGGTCTGTAAATAATCGAGTCTGGACCAGACAATCCCGTGATTAATATCATGAGCATCGATCCACGCAATTGGGATCGATGACATGCATCAACCAAGTCAGCGAGCCTTACCACCTGATCCCGTTAGTCGCCTTTTACGACAAGCTGGAGTTATGAATAATATAAGTGACAGTAATCAGACATATTCTACTGTTCCCAGCAATTTTAGGCAGTTGAATGACGAACTGTGTTCGATCTTGTACACTCGATGTTCCAATTTTAAACAAAAATATTTATCAGTTGTTTTTTTCATACTTGAATCTTAGTCGTGGCTAGGCGTGATATTGAAGTATATTTTATGCCTATCACGAATACTACAAATTAAGTCTGATTCATAGATGTTTGGAGACGTTATATATTTCAGGTAAATGTACATTATTTACTACAAATAGTATGTTAGTATGTTGGAAAGTCGGTTGCTTTATATATTGCGATCGCTACGTGCCCAGTGGGTTCTAAAAACATTTTCAACAATGAACAATGATAGAAAATGGACCTCAATTATTCAAGAAATTGCTTAATATACCTTCAATGCATGAAACAGATGAAAGTTGAACAGACACATTGTCGTTGTATTGGTAACCATCACAAAGCAGCATTGTTGCATTAAGAAGTTTGAGTAACTGACAACGTGACACTACACTCATTTTCAGAAAACTCCAAATTATCTTTATGAAACTGAAAAACAATACAAAATAAACACAAATCCAAAATTATCATCCTCGTGAAGATTCCGGGGTAGAATAGGTCTTCAGCAACCCATGCTTGCCGTAAAAGGTGACTATGCTTGTTGTAAAAGGCGAAAAACGGGATCGGGTGGTCAGGCTCGCTGACTTGGTTGATGCATGTCATCGATCCAAATTGCGTGGGTCGATGCTCATGACATTAATCACTGGATTATCTGGTCCAGACTCGATTATTTACAGACCGCCGTCATATAGCTGGGATATTGCTGAGTGCGGCGTTAAACAACAAACCAACCAACCAAAATTATCAAAAGGTACCAGGTTACCACAAGACTGATCTGTATAATAAGTTGCGTATCCCAGTTGCGTGGATCGATGCTTGTGATATCATTCACGGGATTGTCTGGTCCAGAATCGATTATTTACAGACCGCTGTCATATATCTGGGATATTGCTGAGTACGGCGTTAAATAACAAACAATAAATCAATCATTCAGGAAATATTCAACAGTTTTGGAGTTCCGCTCCGGAAACGAGCACTACCCCCGTTTGTAGTTTCAGTCTTGGTAAGGTGAACCTTTACCACTGAGGTTAGAATTAAGGTAAGCTTAATCTGAAGTTACGCCCGTTTCACAAAGCAACCTCAACTCGATCTCAACTAGGCGTGCCAAACCTAGTGCTGAGGTTGCAGTCGTAATGCTGTACGACATCGTCTTCTGAAACCATTACTCGACATTTGTTAAAAGCATTACAGTTTAGGACGTTATTATCTATTTCTAACATAATTTGTTGGTCCCGATTTATGAAAATCATCAAATGTAATTTCTAAACATAAACGGTGAGCAAGCTGTTGGTAACTTGGACCACATTGTATACAACCTTCATTGCACGCCTATGTGTTGCTTGATATCAGTGTGTACATATGATTATGGGCTCGATTTAATTCATCCTAAAGGAAAACACACTAAACAATAAATGATGAGACGTCAACAAATTGGAGTAGTTCTCCAAAGATATGAATCCAATAACGGAACGAAAAACAAGACGAAAACGAAACATGCCTCAACTGTATAAATTTGTATGATCATCACATATGTCTTGATAGTGTCGAATTATTGGGGGATAATTCTCAAAAATGTGTATCAATGTCGGTTGTGGTCATATTCCATTTACGTCACTAAGTAAAACATTTGCAGTTTGACCCGTGAAGATCCGGGGTAGGTTTTCAGCAACCCATGCTTGCCGTAGAAGCCGACTTTGCTTGTCGTAAGTGGCGACTAACGGGATCGCATGGTCAGGTTCGCTGAGTTGGTTGATGCATGTCATCGTATCCCAATTGTGCACAACCACCAGTAGCTGAAGTGATGACGTAAATTCTGCTGGGTATCATGCAGGAAGCAGAGGTACTGTTAGTCCCCATGATCTCCAGCGAGGTGGCCTAGCTTTGGTTACTTTTATGCTCAAACTTGTTTCATGACTTGCTATTAAATATTGTATGCTCAAGTATGTTTCATAAATTGTTTTTAAATATAACTCTGTATTAATGAACAATCTGTGAATGTATCAACTTGGTCTCGTCGCTATATCGCTGAAGTAATGCTGATGCGATGTTAAAAGTTCACTCACACCAATTGCGTGGATCGATGCTCATGATGTAAATCACGGGATTGTCTGGTCCAGACTCCATCCCTTATCTTCACGGGTCTTGTGAATTGTGAGTTAAGGTTGGGCAGGATCAACCTGAGGTTTTGATCGTAACTTCAGCTTAACTTAGCTGTTATTCGTGGAACAGTATGCTACCCTTAACTAAGGCTTAAGATTGAAATCTCAGAACTTCCGATCACCTAAGCCCTAAGGTTGGTTTGAGGAACAGGGCCCTATATCGCAAGCTTCAACAAGAAATTCGCAACGGTTTAAGAGTTCTGCTCCGAAAACGGATGGCGGTCGGACATGCTGATCGCTATGAATTAACGCCTTACTCGAGCACAGTATTAGTGTCATCTAATTCACTGTTTGTAGTAGATGTACTTATATTCCAAAATATGTAAACTATTAGACTACTGTATCCCATTGACACATGTCATATATTTTGACACTGGTCCACTGGGGTTCATTATGGCCTACATTGTTCTGATATATGGATAGTCTTCATGCACAACCAAAGCTACCTTTCTTTGTCTTCGGTACACTATGTTGAATTGATTTATTTCAATGTGTTTGAAAATGTCCAGTTCAGTAAGCTCTGCACAAACACATAAGACCAAACAAAACCAACTTATTACCATGAACCTTTAGCGGAAAACTGATAACAGAATTCAGATAATCTCGACTAACTGTCGGGCGCTGGTGGGGAAATATAAACGAAAAGAGTTCATGAAGTTATGGGGTAAAAACATTCCTGTGCAAGATATTCATAACTCAAAGGATGAGGAAAATACAAGTAGAAATGAATGGGGGTTACAATGCATTCTTCATTAAAATATGAGGGAAGTCTGTATCATTTTCATCTTACCTAAACAAATGAAAGGATTTAAAAGTCAATTTGAAGAGTTAGACGGAAAAATGAGAAATTATTTTCAATCTATAAGTGAAGCATTGTTTTCTGATCTTTCAATATCAAATAGAATTGTCATCCGAAATTATGCTCCTCTAATGGAGAACATGTCAAAGACATCTAATTATTGTCAAACAAAGTTCAGACGTCTGACTTGGGCGATATATCCTTGTAGATAAATCGGATAAACCCTTTGAAATATATGAAAAACAACAACAGTAGTCCCGGACAAGATGGTTTTCCTATTGAATTCTTTTGAATTCTTTTGGCTTAATGTAAGTAAGTTTCATTAAAACATTAGATTGAAACATTAGATTAGAACAAGGAGCTGACTGCAACAATGCTCTAAAGAATTATACCATGTATACCAAATCAAAGAAAAATAAAAGAATATATAAATGACGTCTATTTTCTTTGCTGAATGCTCTTTACAAAATCCTAAGCACCTGAAAATCATACAGTACAGGAAAACTTGATGCTCTCATACCTACTGACCAGACAGGCTTTATTCCCGGGGTGTGTGAAAATATTCGACGTATTTAGGTTAGGACATTATGTATGAATAAAACTTCAACACAAACCTGGGATACTACTCATTGATTTTAAAAAAAAACACTTTCGATACTGTATCGTAACAATTTATAATAGACCCGTGAAGATTCCGGGGTAGAATTGGTCTTCAGCAACCAATACTTGGCGTAAAAGGCGACTATGCTTGTTGTATAAGGCGACTAACGGGATCGGGTGGTCAGGCTCGCTGACTTGATTGATGCATGTCATCGATCCCAATTTCGCGGATCGATACTCATGATGTCAATCACTGGATTGTCTGGTCCAGACTCGATTATTTCCAGACCGCCGTCACATAGTTGGAATATTGCTGAGTGCGGCGTAAACAACAAACAAACAAACAATTTATAATAATGGTACTCAAGACATATGCCTTTGGCATATTGGTTGGTTGGTTTGTGTTTAACGCCGCACTCAGCAATATTCCAACTATATATGACGGCGGTCTGTAAATAATCGAGTCTGGACCAGACAATCAAGTGATTGACATCATGAGCATCGATCCACTTAATTGGGATCGATGACATGCATCAACCAAGTCAGTGTATACCTTGATGTGTTATACTGTTTGGTTATTGAATAAGAAAGAAGATAAATGCAATGAGTGATACCAGGTACTAAGGTTGTACTACAATGGCTACAAGCGTGAACGGTTCAGTGACCATGTTCATTTTAATGTGCGTTTAATGATGCTGCACATGAGCATGTTAGTTCTGAATACAGTGAGCCTCGGTAATAAACATCTCAATCTACCTACTTATAACAGTGTTCAATGGGTATTTCAAAGAAGTTGATTGCGACAATGTAGACACAATCAAGCAACGGTATAAAGATCTGTACCGAAACGGAGCTATTACATGAAATTGTTATCCTTAAATTGTGTCCACATTATTCATAACATTTTGACAAAATCATGATCTGAGCATTTCGTGATTTGATACACATTTTTTCAGCCTAAAACTCATGTAACATTCTATTCCAGTTTACTGTCCGCCAACATCGGCAGACACGTGTGACTCTTGTAAATCTACATATGGCACACCCGCGGCCGATGCGAAATGCGCGTAAGTCCTTTTACAAGACATATTATTTGCACATCATACTTTACTTATCATTTGTAAAATGAGTGAAAAGCTAATATGATGTACAGGTGCATGCTTAGTTCATATTTCTACAGCCATATTTATAACAGATACAGCAACCAACCAACTGAATTTAATAACGTTTCCGTGATACTAGTATATAGCAATGAATACAAGCCATAAGTACAATCTAAAAGATGAAATGAACTTAAGAAATATCTATATTGTCGTAATTGAAAAAGAAACAATACGTTTGTGAGTCTGTAAAAGTATGTTGCATACTCAACCACAGACCTCACGCAGTGTATTACCATTACAGTGATGACGATTCACTGTACACATTAATACTTTAAGGTTGGTATTGGTGTCGGCATAGGATGTCAGGCGTAACGTTAAGTGAACTTTCGTAAAAGTAACACCCGTCATGATCATGCAGAACCAATTGCTTTATATAAAAACCTAGCTTGGATTTCAATTTCGTAACATGATTTATTTCATTTTCCAAAAGCGTGAGATTAATTCTAGTACCGTGAAGATCCGGGGTAGAATAGGTCTTCAGCAACCCATGCCTGCCGCAAAAGGCGACTATGTTGGTCGGGAGAGGCGACTAACCGGATCGGGTGTTCAGGCTAGCTGACTTTCCAGTCATTTCTTCAAGTTCGGGAAAATGTTTTCAACTCTCACTGGGAGATGCTTATTGTACAGGCGATGTGACGTGCGGTGATCATATCATGTATTTTTTCACAATTTTCCTTTGTGGTGACTATTGAAGGTCTCCCTGATCTTAGGGGCGGTCGGGTAGCCTAGTGGTTAAAGCGTTCGCTCGTCACGCCGAAGACCCGGGTTCGATTCCTGACATGGGTACTATGTGTGAAGCCCATTTCTGGTGTCCCCCGCCATGATATTGCTGGAATATTGCTAAAAGCGGCGCAAAACCAAACTCACTCACTCACTCACTCTCCCTGATCTTGGATAATCTTCGAAATACGAAACTTTGCTGAACACCGGAAAGCTTCACAAAGTAGTAAACCAGACCCCAATAGATGTATAAAATTTGCCACCAGTTTGTGATATGAGGTCGTGTAAGGGTTGTATGCACACTGCTTTCTACTACAGACAGCTGGAACTTGCATTTGCGAAACATGTGAGTTAGTCAATATTTTTTTAATTTCATATTCAGTATTTCATCCATATAGCGAGAAGAATAACCATACATATATGCATCTACGGGTTGCTCAAGTACAATGTTCAGGCGAATCAATTGTTTCTTTTTCGCAGTGCACTGAAGACGTACCTGACCTGTCTGGAGACCTCTGCAAAGGGAGACGCCGGTTGTCCTCTACCTGCTGCTGACGCCGTGACAATAGAGACGGATTATACCGCAGATACTTGTAGTACATGTATGTTGATATATGTATGTGTCGACACTTCAATAGAATATAAACTGCATAGATATAATAAGTCTATGACAGATTGGTCAGAGGAAAAGGGGGGATCCCCGACGAGACTGCAGACAACTGCTGATGCCTTGTCATCCAAACAATGTATAATGTAGACGGATAAAAATGGATCATATAGATAGCAAAGATGTGTATTTGAGGTATACGGCAAAGGAACTGGCAGACAGACGGGAGGAGTTATAGTTTGATGAGTTTGATTGCTTACCATGAAGTGATCATTGCAGTTTATAAGTTATACATACTTGGTTGAATGAGCAATGACGATGTGTTGATGGACGTTTATGTACACAAATCATTGGACGGTTTTGGAATTAAATGATGATATGGTTAAAGTGGCAACGTGGATAAAATGTTGAGCGGTCAGCGTAACATAGAAGGAATGCACTTAGGATGCTAAAGGGCCTGACCACAGGCTTAAATGAGAACGTCTTTCGTTAGCTGAATAAAGATCTAGATACGAGTAAGCTAGTGTGAAGTATGAGCGGTATTATGATTAGACAGAAGATTAATTGAGTGTTATGTGTACATGCTGAAATGAATGGTTACATGATGAACGATGTGATGTAAATGTGAGTGGAGTTTGCGCTGTGAAAATGATGATAAACGGAATATTTTATGTTGCATAGGGTGATAGGAAAAGGTATATGCGGAAAGATAATTTGACAATAAATCGTGTGGTAGGTGATAACCTATAAGACTGGTGGGTGTTATCTAACGTGTTCTACAAAATGCATATATCAGATATATACTTTACGGTGTTCTCATTAATATAATCTACATATAATAGATATCTAAGAAAAAGATTATACAAGAGATGCATGGAAGGGTACAACATACATTTTGCATCTTTTAATGTTCATGTCTATCTGCAATTTCTTTGCATGTGTACTTCCAGCATTTACGGACACCTGTGTTTGTCAGAAAGAATTCTGGAAGACTGACCAGATCGCAGGTGATGCAGCTGTTTGCAGGTAAAATATCATAATGCCATTTGATAAGGGTAAAACAAAGTATACTATATAGCTAGTCAATCGATCATTTGAAATATGAATATATAGGGGACCTTTAATATCTTTGAATATATGAAAGCGTTTACTGCTTGATGGCATGACAACAGATATTCTGTAAAAGAAAGTAAACTGTAAGAAATTGCTTATTTTGAAGCAGTGTCTGAAAACATATATTATCTTTAACACACAAAATCAGCCACATCCCTTTTACCAGAGCACCAGATGGTGGGTCCCTTTCGAGTAGGATCATGTTGTATTATGTACGGTTTGTATCGGTGTGAAAGGAAAAGACACGTTAGAGTGAGTGAGTGAGTGAGTATGGTTTATTGCCGCTTTTAGCAATAATCCTGTTATGTCGAGACGGGGAGCACCAGAAATGATCTTCACACATTGTACCTATGTGGGGAATCGGACCCGGGTCTTCGGCGTGACGAACTTGGCTAACCACTTGGCCACGGCACCGCCCCCGACAATTTTGTTTGAACATTTTCTTTGATGTTATTATCGATTAAGTACTATCGTGAACCAAATAAGTGCAAATAATCTCAAATTGTGCACAGCCATTAAGTACACGAATAAATATGCATGATATACATATATATGTTGTGAGTCCAAAAATGCTATCATATATTTCAATTCTTTCGATTATGAAACGTATTTGCGTCCACCAATGTGTGAAGCCCATTTCTGGTGTCCCCCAGCGTCATATTGCTGGAATATTGATAAAAGCGGCGTAAAGCCATACTCACTCACTCACTCAATCACTATCTGCGTCCACACACATCATGTTTCATGAATGAAAACACTGGAGTGCTAAATACAAAAAAAATCCATGTAATGCCGTACTAGTAACATTGTAGTATATATTATTCCAGCGTCATTCGTGATATCATCGTTTTATGTTGTCCATAGTGCCGCCCAGACCTACATCGCGTGCTTAAAGGGGAAGACAGCCCTGCCCTGTGATGGCACCTCCAGTGTAATAACCCTAGCTACCGGTGTAGAGACCAGGATAAACGCACTAACAGGATGTGGTAAACTGTCGTTTATAAACTGTATATTATAGTATTGTTAACTGCATACTTTGTATTGCCTCATTGCGTCTCTCGCATTGTTGAGGCAAACCTTAGTTACGGGCAAAAGCACACAATACATAGGGAATATTCTACTGCATTATTAATAGCCACGAAATTTGGTTTCATTGCAATCACACACAAAAATATTGTTTATAACGTTCTGACATTACATTATCATTACTTATGAACACTTCTTTTCAATACCATCTTGTTATCTATTGTTAGCCATCACCACCGCCTGCCAGTGTGAGATTGACGCAGCTAAAGCAGACATCTCTGATGATGCCAAGAAGTGCACGTGAGTTAAACTAAAGTTTTCATTGTTAAGACAGGGCGTTTAAGTACAACAAAATTTTTTCTTGTCCACATTTCTGTAAGAGGCGAGAGCAATGTATGATCCCAAAATAACGGAAATGCCGACATTGGAAAGAATAGTTTTGCAGAGTTCCATTAATCAAATACATTACTCACTTGTTAGCTGGAGCAGGGTATGTGTTCGGGATATCAACTGATGTCTGAGAATTCCGTTTTCTCCTCAGGTGTAGTTAGACCGTCCTCCCCTGTTTGTCCCCTTGTCTGTAAGAAGCGGGGGACAATAACACCAGAATAAGTCAAACAAAACATTCGTTTCTTAACGGTCTAATTGTATTCTGTGTGTACATAAAAAGTTAAAAAACTATCCATCCTTCTTTTTCATAGTGCCTACAAAGCTCAGTTCGCATGCCTCTACTCACTGACCACTGCACCCTGTGTTAGCGGTACTACCATAGACGCTCTAAGGTCTGCTGCAGCTCTCTCTGTAACATCTACAGCATCTTGCAGTAAGTAAACTGGAAATATTGGCATAACTCATTTATAATAATGTTTAATTTGAGAGAAGTTTTAGAAATATTCATCTGTTTTTTTTTAAAATGAAGTTTGTAGAATCAATAAAAGCTTTCGATTCCCGTTTTCACAGCTTTTGGCGACTCGCGTGAGTGCCGATTGTTTACAGGCCGAAGACGAATGATAGGAGTATATCTGTGCGGCGTAAGGACACAAAAACACTTACTTGCATGAACATTGTGAGTAGCGGTGCTTACGGTAGAGAATGCCATGCATACTCTTTTCGCGAACACCTGGTGTCATCACTGACTTTCAGGGATTCATTTCTATAATTTTAACTGCCTTTTGCCTTTTACGTTTGGTGGAATTTGTTTCGGCTGATAATCGAGACTGGTTCTTTTCTGGCATTGCCGTTACTCATTTATAATAGTTTTAATACCATCTTGTTATTTATGTTTAGCTGTCACCACCGCCTGCCAGTGTGAGCTTGACGCAGCAAAAGCAGACATCTCCACTGATGCCAAGAAGTGCATGTGAGTTAAACTAAAGTTTTCATTGCTAAGACACGGCGTTTAAGTACAACACCATTTTGTCTTGTCCACATCTCTGTAAGAGGCGAGTGCAATACTATCAGACTAAATATAAAGCATTCGCTTCATAATGGTCTCACCTTATTATGTATGTACAATATCAGTTTCCTTCTTTGTCCTAGTGCCTACAAGGCCCAGTTCGCATGCCTCTACTCACTGACCACTGCACCCTGTGTTAGCGGTACTACCATAGACGTTCTAAGGTCTGCTGCAGCTACGTCGGTAACATCTACAGCATCTTGCAGTAAGTAAACTGGAAATATTGCCATAACTAATTTATAATAATGTTTAGCTTGAGAGCAGTTTTAGAATATGCATCTGTTTATTTTTAATGATGTTTGTAGAATCAATTAAAGCTTTCGATTCCCGTTTTCACAGCTTTTGGCGACTCGCGGGAGTGCCGATTGTTTACAGGCCGAAGACGAATGATAGGAGTATATCTGTGCGGCGTAAGGACACAAAAAAACACTTACTTGTAGAATATTGTGAGTAGCGGTGCTTCCGGTAGAGAATGCCATGCATACTCTTTTCGCGAACACCTGGTGTCATCACTGACTTTCAGAGATTCATTTCTATAATTTTAACTGCCTTTTACGTTTGGTGGAATTTGTTTCGGCTGATAATCGAGACTGGTTCTTTTCTGGCATTGCCGTTACTCATTTATAATAGTTTTAATACCATCTTGTTTTTTATGTTTAGCTGTCACCACCGCCTGCCAGTGTGAGATTGACGCAGCTAAAGCAGACATCTCCACTGATGCCAAGAAGTGCATGTGAGTTAAACTAAAGTTTTCATTGTTAAGACACGGCGTTTAAGTACAACACCATTTTGTCTTGTCCACATCTCTGTAAGAGGCGAGTGCAGTACTATCAGACTAAATATAAAGCATTCGCTTCATAACGGTCTCAGCTTATTATGTATGTACAATATCAGTTTCCTTCTTTGTCCTAGTGCCTACAAGGCCCAGTTCGCATGTCTCTACTCACTGACCACTGCACCCTGTGTTAGCGGTACTACCATAGACGCTCTAAGGTCTGCTGCAGCTCTCTCTGTAACATCTACAGCATCTTGCAGTAAGTAAACTGGAAATATTGGCATAACTAATTTATAATAATGTTTAATTTGAGAGAAGTTTTAGAAATATGCATCTGTTTTTTTAAATGATGCTTGTAGAATCATTAAAAGCTTTCGATTCCCGTTTTCACTGCTTTTCGCGACACGTGTGAGTGCCGATTGTTTACAGGCCACAGACGAATGATAGGAGTATATCTGTGCGGCTTAAGGACACAAAAAACACTTACTTTCATGAACATTGTAGCGGTGCTTACGGTAGAGCATGCCATGCATACTCTTTTCGCGAACACCTGGTGTCATCACTGACTTTCAGGAATCTATTTCTTTAAGTTTAACTGCATTTTAGCCTTTTACGTTTGGTGGAATTTGCTTCGGCTGATAATAGAGACTGGTTCTTTTCTTGCGTTGGCGTTACACATTTATATTATTTCTCAATACCATCTTGTTATTTATGTTTAGCTGTCACCACCGCCTGCCAGTGTGAGATTGACGCAGCTAAAGCAGACATCTCCACTGATGCCAAGAAGTGCACGTGTGTTAAACTAAAGTTTTCATTGTTAAGACACGGCGTTTAAGTACAACACCATTTTGTCTTGTCCACATCTCTGTAAGAGGCGAGTGCAATACTATCAGACTAAATATAAAGCATTCGCTTCATAATGGTCTCACTTTATTATGTATGTTCAATATCAGTTTCCTTCCTCGCCTAGTGCCTACAAGGCCCAGTACGCATGCCTCTATCCACTGACTACGGATCCCTGTGCTGGCGGTACCACTATAGCTGAACTGAAGACGGCTGTCGCTAACTCTGTAACAACTACAACATCTTGCAGTAAGTAAACTGCAAATATTGACATTACTAATAATGTTTAATTCAAAATAATTTTTAGAAATATGCATCTGTTTATGATAAATAACATAACTCTGGAATTGCTGTTCCCAGATTTTGACACATGTGTCTGCCAGAGAACTTTCGATGCTGCAACAAAAGGGAATGATGAAGAAAAATGCACGTACGTTGAAAATGGTTGAACTATATGTATATCAAGAGAATTAAAGAGAAACTAAATGAATCCTGTGGTCAGATCCGTTGACTTGGTTGTTTGAGTGTCATGAAACATTCTTCATAGTTTCAACCACTGGTTTTATTTTGGCCCGTGTATTTAATGGCCGCTGACTGCGGAGTTAAACAACCAAATAAAAAATCTAAAACATTGAAATAACTCTCCCCTTTGTTCCTGTATGATGAATATACCAATATAACTAATACATAAAACAACTCACTTATTGTTCACGAAATCGGGTTGAGACAGTTTTAGTAATACACGCATCCAATACATCCTTGATGTAGAAACACATCGTTTCTTTCTCTGAAAATCCTAGAACCAAATGCATATCTGTGTACTGGCCTGGGATGATATTCATCTGATCTTTTCTACGTACTTATTATAGCGCTTACAAAGCTGAGTTGAGCTGCCTGAGTACTGCTCAATCAACCGGCTGTGACGGCACTACGAACAAGAGCGCCATTGCAACGGCTTCTGAATCAGCAAGAGCCCTACTGCCAACAGGCGATTGTCCAGGTAGTTGCTTTATATTGAGGAGTCTCTTGGAGTTCGTTCTAACCATGTTGTAGATAGTCATATTCAAGGATTGGCTGTGTATTGTTGTCGGTTTATACTTGGTGTGAACCAAAAAAACCGATGTGCAAACTGTGTGAATACCTCAAGGAACTGACAGAAATACACAGCCGATCCTAATAATGAAATTCGACAACGCAAACATCTGTTATCTAGAATGATTTAATTAAATACAATTATATAAATCAATGTAGGAAGAAATGACGAGAGTGATAAACATTCTAGCCGCAGCAATACAAACTGTAGCGTGACATGTGTCAGGTGATTGTTTCATTTATGCATAAAACCCGACACGCCCACAACGTCAGTAGTCAATCAACGGAGTGTAACATCAAACCACGTTCACTTGACCTGTCATTCAAAGAAAGAGGCGAGAAGAACTGCAACAGTCATACTGTAACGAACCAGAACAAATTTAATGGTTAGACTCTACTGTTAGAGAGCTAGAGGTACCGATGGTCAGGTGTTATCAATGTATCTGTGTTGTAATTGCAGGATGATTACGGTGCGTTTAATTCTGTTATGTCAGTTAGTTAATGCGGTGTACGTTTAAAGTGGACAGGAAACAGACCAAAGGCTACTTCGGTTAAAACCCCAGAGTTTTATTCTGAACAAAACTAATCAACGAAAACTGTTCCGACAAGCACAATTACAATATATATAGCTCGTTTCCCTGTTTGTATCCACCAAAGCAACTGTTCCGTCTAAATCATATTGTATATAGCTCGTTTCCCTGTTAATATGCAAAAAGGTATCTGTTTCGTCTAAATCATAATATATATAGCTCGTTTCCCTGTTAATATGCAAAAAGGGATCTGTTTCGTCTAAATCATATTATATGCAGCTCGTATCGCTGTTAATATGCAAAAAGGTATCTGTTTCGTCTAAATCTGTGTCGTTTCCCTGTTTATATACACCAAAGTAACAAACTGGAATAGTAAGTAAGCCGTTTACAAACTCTTGATATATTTTCAGCCCTAACTTCCACGTGCCAGTGTGAGGTCAACGCTGCAAAGGGAGACGCTTCCACTAGCGCGACATATTGCACGTGAGTGAAACATCATCAATTACATAACGTTATCTCATAGCATATCAATGAACAAGTGAAACTGCATTAATTTTGGGATTTATCCCTTATCGTTGTCAAGGAGTAACCATGCGACCTTACAAAAAGATCTCTTTAGTAAATATGGATAACATATACCTATTCCTGTCAATCTGCACGTGATTGTCATCTTACTGCTTTGCTGAACGTGCTGTCCACCGCCATACAACTCTGTCGACGTTTCAGTTTTCCTCGTTCACTCTGACATTTCCATACCTGAAAGATTGAAGTGGTTATTACTTTAATTGAGGGAAATAATATAGTTTCCAACACTTATGTCTTAAAGTGTCCTGACTACACTGAAAACCTGCCTCTCTGCTATCACCACCACTACCGAGGCAGGGTGTACTTCAACAACCCAGGCAGATCTTCTGACTGACACCAACGACAAGATAACCGCAGCCACATGTAAGTGTTGTTCCTAAAACCATGCATTATTAGGAGTATGTACATCACTTCTGTAACCCTACACTAGACCCGAATTATGTCCGGGTTCAGCCATCTTGCTCGTGCGATATTTCGTGTCATACATACCAAAATCACAAGTATCACTTTTGTATTAATATGAAACTAATTAAGTTTATGTCCTTGGAGTTAATTTATAAGCACATAACGTACACAGTACTCGTTACATACTTCATTAATGACACTCAGTATCAGGGTGAAAGGTTGTCTTCACGCGAAAGTTGCAATTGGTCTTGATATAATGTCAGATGAAATATAAGATGATAACGTGAGAGATGAGAGGGACGCGCCCGGTCCACTTATAAAGATTAGACATCTCACTAGCATCTACATAGCATCTCATCTCATCAGCATCTAAATATAATAACCTCCTAATCACAACTTACGTTAAATAATTCTACATTCCTGAGAACTAATTATTATCAAACTACGAGGCAAATAAACTTTTACTGAATATCAACAGACACGATAATATACAGTTACAATCATCGTTTAACAATTCATTACACTTCCATATAACACATATTACACTAAAAATGCATATTATATAAATGTCGTATTGTTTTTTCGTTACAGGTGGGAGTGCTGCGGATTATGTGACCTTTGCGACGACGTCACTGATCGTTTCAGTTCTTGTAAACATGTTCCTGTAACCGCCCTCAATGCTTGCACTTTGAAACTCCTGTTTATTCTGAGCTTTTCTGCATGTAGATGTGACATTGTGGAATGACGGCAATGTGTGTCTTATTGGAATTTTCTATTTGTCGTCACCAACTTTTGATTTTTATTACCAACATTAGTTTTCCTATCTTCGGGTGAAATTGTCAATGAAAACGGGTTGACTTATTTGATTATCGACATGAAGCTATTTTCAATGAGGCTTTCCGAAAAAATACGAAATGCTTGTATGACCGCAATGTATGACGTGGGCCATACATAATTCATGTAACCACTGACGAACACTTTGTGGTCATACTTATTATTACTCTGATATGTCCGAAAGAGCATCTTTGGTTCCGGTTTTGATAACTTTACGGCTTATATGCTGTTGTTCCGAACGTAAAAACATGAGGGATACTCACATGACTCAACCCACGTGTTCCGTACCCTAATGACGTGTTGAGTTAATCCTTGTTGATTGTTCCGCTGAAATAAACGGTACTGTTCACGAAATCTACTTGTATGTTTGTTTTTCAAGACCTACAACTGTTATCACAATGCCATACTCTCCTTTACGCCACACTTATTTCATAACCGTCGTCGCTTTTTCTGTAAGTAATGAACCATTGTGAGGATTCTTCAAATGACAAAACTTCACATCGATTATGACTGGGAACGAAGTGTGATGAGTTGAAGCGAAATATGATCATGTGATCAGCCAGTGTAAGGTTTAAAAGGTTAAATATATTATCTTGTGACGGTACTGTAGGTATATGAGAACATGCTAATGTCTCTTATATATTTCCTCTTCGGACAATTCTTCAAAGAGTGTTCATATTAGGTTTACAAAAGCATATACTAATAAAGTGAACCTATTCAGAGGGGTAATACTGTTATGTTGTGTCCTGAGTCCTGCAGTCTTGCAGTGTAAACATCCTAAGAAATATTGTCTACTAACAATGTTCCCGTTTCCTGTCATTGAAGTCACATTTCCTTATTTAAGAATTCAAAGTGATACGATTTTATATGGTTTTGGTTGGTTGGTTGGTTTGTTGTTTAACTCCACACTCAGCCATATTCCACCTATATGGTCCAGTGATTGATATCATGAGCATCGATCCGAGCAATTGGGAGCTCATTTCAAACCAAGTCAGCGAGCCTGACCACCCGATCCCTTTAGTCGCCTCTTTCAACAAGCATAGTCGCCTCCTACGGCAAGCCTGGGTTGCTGAAGACCTATTCTACCTCGGATCTCCACGGGTCTTATGTGGTTCTGAAAGAATAGATAGTTGTAATCAGCATTCCGGTAGAATTACAAAGTATACACGTTTTGCTTAGTTGAATATTGCCTTAATGGGTCGCCGAGACGCCAACATTCGATGTGTAGGCTCGCGTAAACTCTTGGGTTTCACTCAGTTTTTCAGTTACTAGATGCCATGTCAGTCTGACATGAGCGGAAACTCGAATGCAGGGCCCAGACGTTTGCCATATTTGTTAGTGAGTGAGTTGGCTATAACGCAGCTTTTAACACTATTCCAGTTATATCACGGCGTGTCAGCGTAATGTGGGAGGAAAGCCCGAAGTGATGCAGGTCTTAGTCGTTTACCAATTCGGTGAAACCCACACGCACGGGTATGGTGCTAGCAAACCTAGAAACATAAT